GTATAGAAGATTAATTACCTTATATTCCTATCGTTAAGGAAATCAGATATTATTTAACAAAAAGCCGGTTGATATTTAAGCGACTGTCGGCAACATTTAATTATACCAAATAGTGATAAATGTACCGCAGCCGTTTTCGTTTGTAAGCGATAATTCTATAGGAAACTGTTTAATGAATGGTCTTGCATGTTGTTAATTAATAAGTTACTTGAAAACTGGTTCTTTTTAACAATTCGTTTAACGAAAAAACACTCTCGCTTTGCCTTTATTATTGTAGAATTAAAGGCAGTAAGTCATAATTAAAAAAAAATTATTCATTTCATATTCATAAAAATTAAACGTAAAAGACATTTGTTTTAAAATATTAGATTACGATTTAATTTTTTCTCTCTCAAATATTCTTCACATAACTGTCACATAAAGACCGCTTCGAACAGACGTTAGCACTGTTAACCCCATTCCATTTCCTGCGGAACAGGGAGCCATTAGCAACGGTAAACTATGAAAATCAAGTCCACATTAATACAAACAATTTGCATAGAAATCCTTTTATACGTTCATTGTAACAAATTTCATGGACATTAATGTTTGTGTAAAAATTTTATCGTAACAATCAAGGTGTAGAGAGGATCGGAGAATAAACTTTTTAATATCTTTTTATTCATTAGCTGTTCCCGTACGGTACGTACCCCCGTACATCCGCATGAAATTATGAAAGTTATATTTTGTTGTTTACATTTGTCAAATTATCAATTACAAATGTCAAAATTACATGACATGATGACAACCTTGCTTCCTTGATGTTGGCAGCAACTTATGGTCTCTTTCCCACATTAAGGTTTTTATCCAAAATATTTACTTCCTAAGTTTAATGGCGTTAAAATTTATAGCCTAAAGTGTGACGCAAGTCTAAGACTTTTTATTAAAAAAAGAGTTATTTAAAACATATGCTGTAATTGCTGACATCTTAGGCAACAAAAAAGTGTGTGTTTACGCTTTATTATAATAGTATAGATTTGTCTTTCTCCTAGGTGATCAACAATTTATGTAGGCAACGGAAACTTTCTCTGAAAGAAATAAAAATCGAATCGAATTTTATTTTTTCTGATTGTTGGTTATTCAATTAAGATTTTTTTAAAAACAGAATTAATTTTAATTACGATATGTTTTCGTATTACGTAATCAATAATTAGGTGTTAAAACATGAGTGATGACTGTCAAGGCCGCACGACTGTTGACCCAGACGCCCACCACGCAGCTGTCAGCGGTCGTAACCC